AATGAAAGATTAAGATATTATGAATGCAATGCAATTGGTACCAATAAAAGAATTATAATGTGACTTATATCGTGTATCACCAGAACGCTAAAGGATTATTTCTTGATCAAGTCCATGTTCAATTAAAATCTCACATTTCTTCAATGGCTTCATAATAAAGTATGAATGTTCTCTCAAAAATATCACAACACAACTGTATTGTGAGACAATTTTAGGGGTGGTTGAGCCGACGAATGATATTATCTAGAAGTGTGTTGATTCCAGGTATGTTGAAAATTTTATTGTATGGATTGTCTTTTGCTCAGTATAAATTAGATAATGACCATATATTAGGGATCTAAACCCCATTTATTTTATCATGCTAAAAAGAATTATTTTGCACTTGTTGAATTTTAGGCCTCATTCCGTAGCTTTTTTTACTCGAGTTATTAAGTCTGTTGGGGTTTCTCGAAATTCGGTACCTTTTGATCTAAACAATCGAGGAGCTATTGACCTAATACTGGCTACAGTGGTCAAAAAAAAAGTTTAAGGGTGTGAGATCAATTATGAGTTTTAATTGAAAAAAAATTGATTTTGTGCAATTGTATTCGATATTTGGACTTAGATAACTCGTGAGTTTTAATTATTTAATATAAGCTTAAATATCGAAACACTCAACCGAACTAGAGCAAAAAAATAAATGAGTGAATTGAGAGCAACATTTAGATTTACTCCCGGAGAAACAAAATGAATAACTATTTAAGGAGTGTAAATCTCACGTGTGAGAAAGAAAATATTTGACCACAAAGGGTTGGATTTGAGCCAATTTGAAATTTATTCGTCTTGATAATTATTTCCTAATTTAGATGATAATTGAAAGTGACTATGCACACACATACACCAATCGAACATTGGATACGTTTAAATTATCTTTGCTAGTATTATTTACAGCATATTTGTGAATTGATTATACAATTTTATACTCTTGGATATTTTTGGCAAGCTATCTAATGCGCTAATCTTTATCTCATTTTGCTTGATTGTGTTGTAGATAATCTTTCTCGGAAGAAGAAAAAATTTAAGTTGAACGCAGCCAACATCACCACCACATCTACATCACCGCCTACATCACCCATCACCGCCACCAACTAGAAACACCGTCAACAAAATCATTGCACAACCTGATCCATAATCAGATTGCATCAACTGTAGTAGCAATGACATCGACATCATCGTATAAATCCAAAATGAGATCCAATCGACTACACACAGGATCCAATCCAAAACGAGATCCAATGGACTCGGCAGAGGTTGCGCGACGCACTTGGGGGCAGAGGTCCTCACGGCTGTGGAGTTCCCAAGCAAAGGCACCTACAGGCAGAGGTCCACACAGTCGACGCCGTTGCAAGAGAGCAACATTGATCCTCTTGCAGCAGCAGTGGTGTCGAAGTTTGTGGTAGAGAGAGAGAATATGTTGGAAAATGAATTAGGTTTGTGAGTGAAATTGGGTTGGGATAGATGGGTGGAGTGGGTGGGTGTATATATTAATTTAATTTTATAATATCATTATTAATCTAAATAATAAAAACCTGAAAATTGAATAAATAAAGTTGAAACCTGATTATTTAAAATGTCAAACATAATGCCTGGTTTAGTGTAATTACCAC